TTTCCTGTAGGACTTGCCAAGCCCTAGGGACATTCAAAACTCTAGTAGAGGTCAGGAGTTCAAGCCCCACCCACTCCTCTTCTTTGTCATGTAACTCGGTACCCATCACCTGGACACACAGCACACATTTGGATCCCTGTTTGCTTGTTTTTGCTTGTTCTTTTTCTGTGCCCTAAGTTAGATTTAATGCCAGCAAGGAGTTGGCCCTTTCTGCCATGTGTAAAAGTTATATATGGTCAAGAACTCCATGGTGTGTTTACATTTTGGTAGACAACCATACAGTCCTTCGGATGTGCTTATGATGTCATCCCTTTAAAAAGGAAAACTTCAGGACGGATGCTCTCTCTGACAGGCATCCACATAAAGGACCTGGAGCCTGAGAATTGTCAGACAGCCATGTTTGCTACCAAGTCTCTGATTAAATATAGCACATGCTTTGTAAAACACACCCAATGCCTTGCTATAGAATTTAATCAAACTTTACCATAGACTCCCCAGGGCACTGAATGTAAACCTATACCACTCATTGTTTTCTTAAGGGTTTAGTCACAGTTTCTTGCCAGAAATGAAGCCTAGTCTGAATCCTAAGTGGTATGGAAGAATTTGGGCTGCAGGAGAGTTCTTGGAGAAAGCAACAAGCACTTTCTATTAAAGCCATCCTCTTACTTCGCCGACTGGGAAATAGTTTAGCATCTCTTAGAAGTCCTAAGACTCCAGTGTGACTCTCACAGTCCAATACCATCTAACCTGGGTTTTTTTTTTTAAAATCTTTGTTTTTGTTGTCTTGTTTTGTTGAGACAACGGTCTGATTCTGCAGCCCTGGCTGGCCTGAACTCCCCATAAAGACCAGGCCCTAATGGCCTCAAACACACATAGACCCTCCAGCCCCTGCCTCCCGAATGCTAGGATTAAAGGCGTTCACCACCATATCCAGCTCTTCTAACCTTCTGAGGGGAGAAATTTTTTAAGGTCACTTTATTATTATTGATGTCACTTGCAAATCTCTAAAAAGATACCATCTATGCCAGGTACTTAAGTGACAGTGATGGCTGCAATGTAGGAGACCAAGTGCTCTTGGGACAGAGAATATCGGAAAAAGAATACGGACAAAGAGCACTTCCAGGACTGGAGCGGAGGTCAGCAGGAGGTGAGATAACTGTCTGCAATCAACTCAGTGGAGTTAGGCAGCAGTCATTTCCACATGGCTAAACAATTCACCACAATAGACTCTGAAAATGAGCTGACCTGGCCTTGCAGCTTCAGCGATATTGATTCCTAAGTGATTGCCAGCACTCCCACAATGCCGTCTGTCATCAACGGTCGAGTTCATTCCTGCATTTGACACATTTGAGGTGGGTGCCAGCTGTATACCAACACTTTTCTCTAAGAGCACAGCGTGTAAAGAGATGGTACAAAAGGAGAAAACAGCTTGTCCTTTGGGACTTAGTCTAGTGTGTTATCCTTGTGCTGAGGGAAGTGGACTCAGATTTAACAACCCCCCCCCCCGCCCCATAGAATAGCTTGCTGCACTGAACGGTCCCCAATGAACACTTTAAAAGAACGTGAGCCAAACCTATGCCTTTCGTCTTCCTCAGAACTAGTCCCCCATCTTATCCTCTGTTGTAGCAAGACAACCTGATGCTGCTGACTTAATTCATTCTTGTTTCCAAGCCAATGGATCCTAAATCCTCCGGGAATGTTTATACCAGGAGCCTAAAGAATCTTCACAGCATTCTAATCTTTACTTTTTTTCAGAGCCTCACAAATTCTAGGCAAACGCGAAGCAAATGCTACCTTCTGAACTGAATTGGGTACCAAAAAGTGCACGGTACCTTTTCATCTAACCTATCAGTCAAATTGATTGACAGCTGTCAGAGGGGAGGTAGGTAAATCATGCCTTCTTACATGAGACTAAATCCAAAGCAGACAGGGAAAAGATATGTCCAAAGAGTGTGCACTAACGTGGGGAGATACATATCATAAAATGTTAGCAGACCCTGCTGGTAAAAATGCTTGCAACATAAGCCTGACACCCTGAGTTTGGGTCTTAAGAACCCACATAAAGGCCAGTGTCATACAATCTGTAATCCAGAAGTCCTACCTTAAGATGGAGGTAGAGACAGAATTGCTCACAAGTTCTTGGCCCAAATAACCTGGAGAATGCATTCCAAGAAACACACACACAAAGATTAATTTTTTGAAAGCCTTAAAATGTTATTCAGGTAGAACAAAATTTATGTATTTGATATAAGAAGGATGTGTGAAAATCTGTTAACATCTAAAAAGAATGACAGACGTGTTTTGATTCATGAATTACATATTAAAAGTATATTTATATTCTTTTAAATTCCAGTTTTTGCTTTAGCAGACATGGGTTACCTTGTGTGACTAAAACAGTAACAGTGTTAAACCTATGACTTTTAAAAAGGAAAAACAGGTTTGAACAGCCTGTCACTGTGGTGAGAGCCCAAGATGGGATCCAAGCGCCCAGGTATCGACTCCGAGTCTTCAGACTGCCCAGGCACTGGGGTAACTTAGCATAGTCTGCTGTTGGTTCCAATTTCCCATATGCAAAATGGAGGTGATTGGAATCCCTATCTAACTGGTTGGTGTAAGGATTAGTACCTACATCACATAGAGTCTTAGGCACAGTCTAACATCTAAGAAGCACCCAAAACAACAGCACAGGAAGGGCTCAGGAGTCTCAGAGGAAGAGTTGAAACACAGGTGGGAAGGTCCACAAATATCATATCCTGGTGACTGAGCAACAAGTCACTCAGAGCTGTGTTTTCAGGAGGCAAATTTCTCTCAGACAGATTGAATCCCTGATTCATTTAAAGTTCCTCTGAAGATGATGGACAACATGTACTTAATTGTTTTATGGGCAATTACTTCTTTGTTTGTTTTAGAGGATACTGGTCATATTTTGTTGCACAAAACACCTTTGGGGTTTAAAATAATCTAAAAACTAGCCGGGCAGTGGTGGTACACACCTTTAATCCCAACACTTGGTGGGCAGAGGCAGGAGGATCTCTATGAGTTCAAGGCCAGCCTGGTCTACAAGAGCTAGTTCCAGGAGAAGCTCCAAAGCTACAGAGTAACCCTGTCTAAAAAAAAAAAAAAAAAAAAAAAAAAAAAAAAAAAAAAAAAAAAAAAAAACGTTTATAGGATTGTCAGAAAATATTCATCATTTTTCTATATGAAACGGACTCATAAAAATATTGTTTAGATCCAAGCTATCTCAACATTCTAGAGGCAGAGACCAGGGGATCTTCTTTGTGAGTTCCAAGCCAGTCAGAGTTACATATTAAACCTTGTCTCAAAAATCCCTGGCAGGGGAGGTTAATGTTGACCATAAATAAATCTGAAGATAATAAATGTCCATACAGTCATATTTCCTTGTCAAATGTCTATTCCCAGCAAGCAAAATCAAATGCTTGTCTTTTATCTCCTGCACCCAACATCCTTCTTTCTGTACACCTCCATAAAATAAAGTGACAGTTACCCTGGGATCCCGTCCACAACAGGCTCTTGGAAAATATTTATTGGACAAGCATTAATGTATTCCTACTTGCCAGTACTTATCTTTACTAAATGAATGAGAATTCCGTTGACCCTGCAAGATCACTAAGTTTAAATTTATACGTCTGGCCCCTTCTTTCCTGGAAATGAGGTGTTCCTTAAGAGAAAACTCTTAGTCTCCCACAGAATTTTTTCATGTTTGCATTTATTTATTTATTTATTTATTTATTAAAGATTTCTGTCTCTTCCCCGCCACCGCCTCCCATTTCCCTCCCCCTCCCTCAGTCAAGTCCCCCAGTTTGGATGCTCACCTTACTAGACCTGGATGGAGGTGGGTGGTCCTTGGACTTCCCACAGGGCAGATTTTTTTTTTAAATCTAACTTACCTAAATCGACTTGATCTGCCCCCCCCCCCCCCCGCTCAGATCAGCATAGCTAGCCTTTGGCAGCCTTTTTCTCCCCGTGGCCCCTGCTGTTTAGCTGCAGGGAATAGCTACCTGTCTTGAAAGGGGGCGGGGCTTGAACTGAAGTTGTTCGGCGGAAATGAGCTGGGAACCCTGCCAGGCACCAGCGGGGTCACTTTCCTTCCCCTCCACAACCTTTCTCAGTCCCCGTTTCTTTTACTGCACAGTGGGCGTACCAAGGACTTCTTGTATGTTTACAGTGAAGCCAAACAAGACAACCGACGCTAAACGGGCATCGCAGGCGCTTCTGCTATGCCCTTCCCCCTGGTCGTCTCGGTTGGAGGCTGAACAATCCTTGGACTCTCAGTCTCTCTTTGATCGCCTTCCTGTCTTTCCTCCCGCGCGAGAAAGGCAAAAATCTGAACTCGAAGTTACTCATCGAGAATATTTGCGCTCTCCGTTAGCTTTGGGTCGCTCACCTTTTAAGTCCTGAAGGACCTGGAAAGGTGGGCACAGCAACTGGCGGTGAGCGCGGTTTTTGCGAGGTGGGGTCTAAGCAGAAACCCCACTCTATCCTCATCTGTGAAGTCCGGGCTGGACTCTGTCCTCCTCCGTCTTCATTCACACAAAGACTAAACCGATAGAAGAACTTCAGAGAGTTCCAGAGACCTCACCTCGCCAAATCCCTGAACCAATCTGACCTAGCTCTACAACAAAAAGGTGAGGTCTCCAGACTGAGCAGGCCCTTGGCAAGGTGAATGGCTGGAGAGGGACGCGCCCTGGCCAATAGCTCCTTTCCAGCCTGGGCTCCCCAGCTTTCCCAACCCACTCTGGCCGCTGCCACTTCCTCTCCAGCACTGCCAGACAGTTTGGAGTATCTGAAGGGCGTTCAAGGGACAGTGAAGGCTGCTCCTGACCCGCCGGAGCAGCCCCAACTCTGGGAAGTTCAGCCTGAAGCTGGGGGCCCGTCTGGCACTCAAAGTCTGCCTCACTCCGAGCTTCTCCCCATTGAGCATGCTACCCCTCGACGTGGAGCCCAGCCTGGCGCTGCGCTCTGCAGAGAAAAACGCTAACCTGTGGAAGTAATGTGCGGAGAAGAGACCCAGCAGCACATTCCCGGGCTGTCCGAAGAGGGAGCGGGGCTGCCAAACGAGCATCCCTACTGACACCACGAAGGAGGGAAGCTCCTGCAGGAACCAGGCGATTCGTGCAGGCAGGAGGGAAACTCCCGACGATGCACTCTGGCTGTGTTTCCCGTACCTGCCAGGTGTCCCTGAGTACAGGATCAAGGATCCCAAGGTAGCCAAAGTGGCGCTACCTGCTAGCACCGGGCCCTGGTGGCACACAATCGTCATCTCGCTGTTCACAGCTGGTGGCTGCAGCACGCCTGGCGGGGAGCGCTGTTCCTTTATGGAGCATCAGACGCCACCCCGTGTCCGCCCTTCGAACCTGGGTTCCCTCCCCTTAGCCCCCCTCCATCGTGCCTCCCACCTTGGCGCAGCCCGCCATGGCTCTGCTTAGAAGCAACGCCCATTTCGCCCGGCTGGCTCTTTAGTTTGCAGCTGGGGCACAGGACCAAAGCTCTTGTGGAATCAAAGAGTGCTGGGGGGGGGGGGGCTTCCTTCGCCCGTGCCCGCCGTCTGCCTGCATCGATTTCAACTCCGCTCCCCTTCAGGTGGCCCTAGGATGACTTGCTCCTTACCAATTCTGCAACTTCTGGGATCAAGCAATAGCCCAGACGAAGGCACTGATGCTTCTCCATCCCTTAAGCACACTCTCTGCGCTGTCGCCAGGCAATGCCCACTACAGATCGCGTTAGCCAGGACTTCCACCTGCTCCAGTGGCCGATGTTTCTTCCCTCCCCTCAGTTTCTAACCAACCCCAGGTACTTCCTTGGACTTTAGATTTGGCAGTCTGGTGCTTCGAAACTCTGCCTTTTCCTTTGTGCTTCTTCCTCACTCAGCATCTGTGCTAGCTCCGCCTCACCACGACCCTCCCTCAACCCCTTAAGCAGATGCCAGCCTCGAGGGTAAGCGCCCTAATTCTTCCGTGGTTTCCCTTAGCAGCTCCTTCCTTCTCCTTAGCGAGAAGTAGCGCCTTTCCCACTTCTGAAGCGCTCAAGTGGGGTACAATAGGTTGGTGAGGATGCTCTCTGGATCGCCCAGCCTTCGCACACGGGACCGGTTCTTTTCCGCTTATGTTTGCCTTTTCTCACTCTTCCCTCAAACTCCAGACAGCCCGCAGCTCTTGTATTCTCTACCTTTTCTTTGCTTCAGCACCCAGCCTTTCTTGGCTGCTTTTTCTTCTCTTCCCTCCTTCCTTTCCCTCCTCTGCCCTCTATTTTGGCCTGACCTTCTCTTCCCACCTGCTGTTTCCTTCAGTCTCCATCTTCTGGTCTCAACCTTCTTTGATTACTTTACACCTATTTCCCCCTCTGCTTCCCGCTTGGAGTAGTTCACCAGGCTTTCCCCCCTTTGCTCTCTCCACTCACTGGGATCTTTCTCTCCCCTTAATTCCAGCTCACCGACTGTAGAATCATTCTCACTTCCCCATCCACTCCAGCCAGTCCTGGGACTACTCAAAAGAATGCACATCCCCAGTCTGTTCCAAGTTAGAGAAGTTTCTTCCCCACTGGGATATGTGACAGATGGGGATTCTTTAGCGATACAGGACATCCTCTTCTTGCTGACCAAGAAGTAGTAAAAAAATCACCCTGCTTGCATTAAAAATAAAACAAATAACCATGTTTGTTTGAAAATGATCAGCACGCAGAAAACACCCAGACTGACTGGAGCTCTATGCTGGTTTGAATAAAAATGGTCCCCACGGGTCCATAGGGAGTGGCGAATTAAGGAGGTGTGGCCTTATTGGAGGAAGTGTGTCACGGGGAGAAGGGGCGGGGGGGGGGGGGGTTGGACTTCGAGGCCAGGCCCAGTGGTTCACTCTCCCTTCCTGCTGCCTGTGGCTCTAGAACTCTCGGCTACCTCTCCAGCACTATGTCTGCCTTCAAGCCACCAGGCTTCTCACCATGATGATAATGGACTAAACCTCTGGACTGTAAGTCAGCCCCAACTAAATGATTTCCTTTTTAAGAGCTGCAGTGATCACGGTGTTTCTTCACAGCAATAAAATTCTAAGATAAGCACTCTGCGTGGAATAACCAGGCATCGATGTCTCAGCAGTTCCCTGCAGTGTGAACACTGGCCTACTGTACATTCATCACTAACGTCTCAGTTCCTACCGGCCCCTTAAAGATGCATAAATCTAGATGCCAGCAGAAAACCCAACTTCCAAAATTGCACTTTCTCCCTGCTAGAAAACTCCACTTAGATGCCCTTCAAAGAAAGACTTCAAATTTTACCCATTTATCTTCTCCTCCATCCTACCCAAATTTCTCTCTGGATGTGGGCTGTTACCTCTTCTCTACCTTCAGGAGCCATAGCCACCTTAGGAGGTTTGTTTGTTGAGTCAGGGAGCCACGGATGTCATGGCGACATAATCAGAACATTGGTGTTGTTTTCCAAATCAGCTTAATGAAATAACTTTGAAAGAATGAAAAGTCTCCATCTCAGTTTCATCCTCTCCCTTTATAAAACTTTTCCAAATGTGAATGTTCACTGTCCTTTTTATCCCCACACCTACAGCAACTTTTTGCCAATAAATAACCCACACTTAAAGTCAACTGCATGATAAAACCATTAGCCTGTGTGTCTGTGGGTTGGCAGAGAGTGGCTGATCCAGGCTGAGCTTAGCTGATGCTGCCTTTGAGATGCATTCCTCTGTGGAAACCTCAGAGCACAGCTTCAGGTAGCACCTTGATCAGGAAGTAGCCTTAGCCCAGGCCCTCTCCTGGGATGAGTGTGCTAGACCCACCATTCTAAGTAATTCCAATAAAATACAATCACAAAAAAAAAAAAGACCTGTTGAGGCACAGGTCAAGACCCAACATACTCTTGCTTCCTCATCATTCTATTGGCCAAATCAAATCACATGGCTGGTTCATTTCCATTGTAGGAGCAGAAAATTTGTTAAAAAGTTACACAGCAAAGGGCAAAGAGATATAAGAAGAGAATTGAATCCAAAAAAGCAACTGTATGCATTAGATACACAAAAGAGGGGATAAAATTGCAAATGTCAAGCTCGATTGGTTCTTATAAATGAAATGTGTTCTTAGAACCTGTACCTAGGTCAAGAGACAAATCCTCATTTGGGGGGCTGCCCTCCCGCCTCCATCCACCCTCTCACAGAATAAACCACTACCATATTCACTTCAAATACCATAAATTAGCCTTTTTCTGCTTCTGAACTTCATTTAAATGGGATCAGACAGTATTTGCTTTCGTGTGTGTTTTAATGGCACTTGGAATTTATCTTTCTCAGTGATTGTAAGACACAGAGACACAGAAATGATGGTCATGAGAGGAAAAGTTGACATTCTTAAGTCCTTAGAAACAGGAGACACAGCATGCCATACAAGACTCCCCAAGAAACAGCAGGGCCCAACAGGAAGCATCAAGACTAAACAGATGAGGCAGGATAAGGAAGACTATTTTATGTCCAGTAGATCAGGAATACAGAGGATGACCCTGGCTGGCTGTTTCTTGACCCTGGGATACTTAAAACTGGCATATAGTAGCCCAAACATGAAAGCCCAAAAAAAGGAGTTTCAGTTTGCCCATGAAGGGTATATTATAGCCATTTAAAATTTCAGAGAATTATCTTTCTCTGGGAAGGGTAATTCCTGCCTTGTCATCAAGGCATGGTTAGTGTATTTGGGGTGTGTGTGTGTGTGTGTGTGTATGTATGTATGTGTGTGGGTGTGATCCACATTGTTGCAAATAGTTCCAAACTGTTTATTCTCGATGTGCAGCATTCCCTTAAAAGAGTACATTCATTACAAGTGACAAAAAATCAATCTAAGAAAGAAAATGGTAATTTAATCTCACAATCTAAAGTATAGTCCATTATGTCAGGGTATGAGGTGGCTGGTCACATTGCATGGCAGTTAGGAAACACAAATGAACAATGGTACTTGGCTTTCTTTCTCTTTTCTTCTCTTTCTATTCAGTCCAGGACCCAAGCCTGTAGGATGCTGTTGGCTACATTCAGGGTGGATCTTCCTTCCTTAACTAAACCCCTTTGAAACACCCTCATAGGTTTGCCCAGGGGTGCATCATCTAGATGGTTCTAAAAGTAGTCGCATCAACAGTGAAAACTAACCTAAAGTTTACCCTTGCTCAACTTGACACAAACATCACTAAATCATAAAATTCATCCTCAATGGCTCATGGCAGTGTAAGAACACAAATTTTATGTTTTTAAAACAACTGAAAATTGCACTCTTCCACACCCCTCTGTAGTAGGAGCTACAGGCTGTACTGTATTTACAGGTACAAGAGCATTCTCCCACAGCAGAGGAGTGTCATGGGATGCTGTGTTCTGGACACAACATGGGCATTGCACTCATAAGCTCACTGTGGTGATGGCTGCCTACACAAGAGCAAGCCAACAAGACCCATCAATATTCCAGCAAGCTGCATTAACTGCTTTCAGCAGGTTATAAAGATATTTCTTAGGAAAGGACATACAGGTGGGAGAGGGATATGTTGGATGCGTGGTGGTAGAGGGGGTACTTAGGATCAAGATACACTGTATATGTTAAAAAGTTGTCAAAGAATAAAACAATGATATTTTCAAAGGAAAACAAAATTAACTTGAAGATAGATTTTTACCAAAACAAAAAAATTATGGACGATAAACAGTCATAATGTGGTTCTCATGAGCTCATGAAGGTATGTGTAATACAATTAAATTTTAAAAATTAAATGTTTTAATGATCAAATAAATAAACATCAGTCTAGAACTTTTCTTATATTCAATAAAATATTATTCAATAAATGAGAAAAGTATGGTTCAATAAAAAAACCTAAGAGAATTAATGACTATAATAAAATAAATGGTAAAAAAAATATTCTAGCTAAAAGATGAATAGCTAAAAGGTGAGTAAGTAGTCACATGGCCGGACAGTCCTGGGGGACTGAATCCAGGCCCCCTCCAATTTCCTAAGCTTTTCTGGCCATCCAGTGGGGTGGAGTTTCCTGATGCTAGTTTTCTTTACCCCATTCCACCCTACTCCCCAAGCCTGCCTTTTCATCTACAAGGTCTTTGGATCCCCCAACACAGCCTGCTTCAGGGTGGAGGGGATCTGAGAGCCTGCTCCAGTGCTGAGGGGACCTAAGAGAGGGCAGACCAAGAAAATTCTCAAGTACACAGTTAGCCACAGCAAAGATTGGACCAAGACTCAAGACTCTGCTGGCCTCATTTGAAGGAAGAGATGGACAGGCACCAATGCAAGAATTCCTCCAACATC